TATTAATACTTAATTAATTGCTTTTTAATTTTTTATTAGAAAAAAAGAGTGATATTGATCAATTAGTGTTGACGTTTTTATATTAAGCAAAAGTCATATTCTTCTTAAGAAGAGTTTAAAATGGTATTTACTAAAAATAAATACTTTATTTTCTTGAAAAGAGTTTATTTTTTTTAAGTATAAACTGTAAAAGACAAGAATTGACACTAACACTAGTGTCTTGAACATGTAATGTCTTATATGATAATTTAACAACTATTTTCTTTTGAACTTTTAAACTTATTAATATCCTTCTTGAAGTTGTATTATTTGAATAGGTTATGTGGTTTGTTGCTTATTTTATGTTCTTAAAGAGTCTCGTTTATGACTTATCTTTTTTTCCTAAACTTTCTTTTAGAAATGGTTGTGATTTTCAACTTGACTTGTCTCTGTAACACTGTTTTTATTTTTTTGGTGTTTGCGAGGCTTTAAACTATAATGATAAATTATCTTAGATACATACTTTTAAATTATCATTTTTTTATAAAACACCTAATCAAAAAATTATCAAATCAATGTTTGATTGAAAAATGGATTGAGTGCAGTTTTTTCTTTAGACGGTGGTTGTTTTGTTCGTGAGGCATTACTCTTTGTAACTACAAGGAAAGAGTGATTCTTGTTTTGCCCAAAACACCGTTGTAATGTGTTAATATAAGAGTTCATCTCAACTTGTTTTGTAAATTCGTACTGAGAATATGTTTGAGATAAAATATGATTGATTTTGTTAATAACCTCATTCTTTTTTTGGTTGTACTCTTCATTTGAAATATTAACAAAAGGATGGTTTGTTCTTTCTCCTGCCATTTTTAGTGTCATTCCTTTCTTTTTGAAGAACTTTTGTGCATGACTACGGACTTGATAAATGGTTTTTGAACCAATAAAAGCAGATATTTTGGCATAATCCCTTCCATATTTATTAAAAGCCTCTTCAAATTTAGACCTTTCTTCGTCAGTCCATGTCTCTCGCCTTTTTCTATTTTGTTTAATTCCTCCAGTTGTTTTGAATAAGTTCTATACATTAAACTTTTAATTTTTTTAAGGGAGCTTAAAAGGCACTAAGAAACAAACCAGTTCAACAACACTGTTAGTATCTGTTGTGTCATTTTCAGTAGAAGAAAGAGTGACACTCATTTTTATTCTCATTTCTATTCTAGAAGATTTGTACTTAAGACAATATACCTTTTCATCTTATTTTTCATTCTGGAAGATAACAAGATAAGAACTATTAAATGAAAAAGACTTTGGAGATTGTATTTAAGTAAAATATCTTAGATAATTTTAATGTATTTTAGATAGAAGCATAAAGATTTTTAGTATATTTGAGAAGAAAAAAAACCAAAAATCAACCTTTTAAATCCTTTAATAAAAAGAGATTTGAACTATAAATTCATAATATATGAAACTGTTATTGGCAATACTATTATTTAGTGTTTTTACATTTGCTGAAGAAGAATTCACTATTGATGAAGACTTTGACTTAGAAAGTGATGACCTTGATGAATATGAATTAGACGATGAAGATGACGATGAAGATGAATATGAATTAGACGATGAAGATGAAGATGACGATGAAGATGACGATGAAGATGAAGAATTAGAAGATGAAGAATTAGAAGATGACGATGAAGAAGATGGGGATAGTGAATTTGATTTAGAAGATGATGACGATGAAGAACGAAGAAGACGTAGAAGAAGAAGAGGATCATGGAGAAGATGGTTTAGAAGACATCATAGAAAACCAAGAAGACATTATCGTAGAAAAAGTCATAGAAAACATTTTAAGAAAAATAACAGAAAGCATAGAGCAAGAAATAACAGAAGACACAGAAGAAGAAACAATAAAAGAAAAATAAACAGAAGAAGATTGGTTAAAAAATCAAATATTAAAAGAAGAGCTAATAGGAGAATTAATAGAAGAAGACCAACTAGAAGATATAAGACAAAGAAAGCACAAAGAAAAGCAAGGTCATTATTAAGAAGAGTCAAAAGAATGTTAAGAAAAAGAATTAGTCCAAAACAAAAGAGACAAGCAAAAAAAGCACTTAAACAATTAAAAAAAGTAATTAGAGGAAAGGTTTCACCAAAGAAAGCTTTTAGACAAATCAAAAAAATTAAGAGAGTTGAAAAGAAAGTTGAAAGAAAGATAAGAAAGAATAGTTATAAAGCACCAACATCTTCAACAGCTTCAAAGAAATGTAGCTGTTATAAAGTAAAAGCACTCAAATTAAAATTAAAAAAATTAAGTAAAAAGATGTGTGACTTAAAAGCAAAAATCTCAGTTGCTAAGAACGAGATTAAACACCAAAAATCTAAAAGACATCATTATGTTAAAAAAGCAGAAAAACAAATTGCCAAATTACAAAAGAAAGTTGGCTCAGTTGCTAAGACAATAGCTACTGCTAAAGTTACCAAACAAATGAATAAAAAGAATGCAAAAGTTGTTGCTAAAAAATCTGAAAAGAAAGTAGTAAAAATTTTAAAGAAGAAGTAAATGATAATTCATTTGTTTTGAACTAAATTATAATAAAATATTTTAATAAAATAAAAAAAATTATATTTATTTGTTTCAATTATTTTGATTAAACTAATTTTTTTACCTTAAATACTATAATTTAATCATTTAATATTTAGTTTCTTTATTTTTATTTGATTTTAAGATGATTTAATGAAATATTTTAATGTATTATTAAAATAATTTCATTTTTATCAAAAAAACATTGAAATTTTTATAATATTATCGATTCAATAAATTTTGATAATTCCTCTTTTTTTGATTAATAAAATTTTAAAGGAATTAGAAAGAAATAAAAATGAGTAAATTTGAAAAAAGATGAGAAGTTCAATGAAATTGTTACATAAACTAAATTCAAAATATATCAAATGTGTTTTAAAAACTTAAAAAATTCTATTTTATTTTTATATCCTCTTTAATTAATACTATTATTATTTATTAATGTAACACAATAAAATAATGTTATAAATAAAATAATTTATTTCAATATTAACCAAAAAAATTGAGGTAACATGATAAAATACTGATAAAATAAATGATAATTTAAATTAACAATTCATTTATTTCTTTTTTTCTTGTTTATTGTTTGGTTTAAAATTATTTTCTTAAAAACAAATTACTAAACAATAAATAATTAGTATAAAAGAACAATAACTAAAAATAAAATTATAGGAAATATAAATTGTATCGAAGCAATTTTAATTATAAACTTATTATTTATATGTTTATTACTAATAAAATAGTATTATCTTCTTTAGTATAAGAATGTTATATTGTAATAATAAAAAATAATTCATAATTATCTAAGTTCTAATATTAATTTTGATATTATTAATTGATATTATCAATAATAAACTCAAAGTGAATTATGTCTACAAATGCACCAAAGAAATAAAATATTTTTTTGATTTTAAAACACCTTTTAGATGGAGAGGTAACTTAAAAGTTCAATCTAATATCAAAAATAATAAAATGATTTTTATATTTTAAATGAAAGATGCAAATAAATTAAACTAAATAATCCTCAGAATTTGTAGTTGTAGATTCACTAATTCTTTGAGTAATTCCTTCTTGAGAATTTATTAATAATGGAGAATTAATGTTATCATTTGAATCATTAGCATATTCTTCATTATTATCAGTTATTTCATCTGTTATTCTTGGGAGAATAGAAACTTCTTGATTTATATTTTGTTGTTGAAGAGTTTCATTAAGTAATCTATAAGAACTTTCACTAATAAGAATTAAGACAATAGAATACATCATAACGACTATTTCTTGATAATCAGCATATTCTATATCTTTTAAAACTTGAAAACAAGTTTTTCCAGTTTTAATTCCAATAGGACTTTGACATGTAGAATTATTAAGTGTAGTAATATTAGTAAATTTCCAACCACAACAATCATACTAAATAGTAATTACTCTTAATTTAAAGTATTAAAAATCGATAACCAATAACTACAAACAGGAATTTGAAATGGTTTTGCTTTCTCCTCATCCATAGTAAAAAGTTGTCTTAAGTCATATGAAAAATAAGAGATTGATCCAATAATAAATATTAAGAATAATACATTTATTATTCCTCCTCCATTAATAATAAATCCATTCATTAAACAACTTGCAATAATTAATAAAAAACCACAAATAAATAAAGACACTCCAATAGCATAATTAAACCCTCTAAAAAATGTTTTACTATATTTTATCATTGACTTTTTGGAATCTATTATCTTATTAAACCCTCCAAAACCAGAAACTATTTCAACACTAATGCCTGAAATGATTAAAAAAATACCAAAACAAATACCAAAAATCCTTGATTTCTCCATTACTTCATTCTCAGTTCTTTTTTCATAAACTTTTTTCAAAAATGAAACTAAATATTTTTCTTTTTTTTTAATTCAATTTCTAGTTATGCTTAACTAAAACTATTCCTTCCAATACACTTGATAATGAAGAATAATCATCAACAGCTAATTCGGCTCTTTCTCCTACACCAATAAGGACTGGTGTATTATGTGTTTGGAATCCAGTAATAGTTTTAGGTGATCCAGCTTGTCCTGCAACATCAACTGCAACACCAACTCTACAAGAAGTTTCAACAACTTTACCATTTTCATCGATTGGCATAAACATTCTTGGCTTCATTGCAAGACATAAAGCATTTATAATATATGTATTTAATCCAGAAATACGTTCCATTCCTTCTCCACCAATAAAAATGAATATTAAAATTCCTGCTAATGAAATAGGATCCATAATAAATCTATCTGAATACATTGGATTAATTCCAATTGTTCCTTTTCCTAAATGAACTAATCCTTGTGCAACTTTAACACAATATAATGACTGATGATCATTTACAAAAAATGCAGCAAGTTGATCTAATAAACTTATTGCTCGTGTTGCTTGAGTTCCAGCTGAAACAAGTCCAATAGAAAGTATAGCATTTCTTGCAGCAATTAAATCAGACCCATGAGCTAGTCTTGTTAATTGTTCGAGTAATCCTACTTTTGGTTTTCCAATAGAAGTTAATGCTAATGCAAATGGAACATATCTTTTAACTGATGGTTCTCCATATCTTTGAACTTCATTAATTAGTCGGGTTGATAATTCAGTAGAAAATTCATCAGACATTAAAGCTAAAGCAACTCCAATAACAGCAACTCCACATGCTTTTGTTTCATCATCTTCATCATGTTTACCACATGCTTCCATTAATTGTTGAACTTTTAAAATATTTGATGTTCCTGCAAATGCACAAGAAGAAACAACTAACATTGCATATTGATTTACTGGTGATGGTAATGCTCTTACAGTGTCCATTACTAATGAAGCACTTTCACCACAACATAAATGCAAAAGTCCTAATCCAATAACTAACATTTTACATGAAACACTTTTTAAGAAATCTCCATTTCCATCATTAGAAAAGATAATTGAAAGTATTTGATCAGCAATATCTCCATCCATAGTTCCTTGAAATATTAGTCCTAATGCTAAAGCAGCATGTCCTACAGTTTCAAATCCAACTGCATTGATATCATTTAATACTGCAATTAATGTTTCTTTCATTTCTGTCTTCCGTGTTCCTGCATATGCAAGTCCTAATCCAAAAATACTAAGCTTACGTTCAATAGCAGATGTTTCTGCTCCTAATTTATCACTTAAAAAGACTTGTGCAAAATCAACATCACTTTTTACTCCACTACAACATGTTCCAATACCTAATAATGCACCAGCTCTAACATACATTGAATCAGATCCAATAAATGAAGTAAATTGTTCAACATCTTCTGGTCTCCATAAATGAATTAATCCCATTCCAGAAGCTGATGCTATTTGTCGTTCACTTCGTCCTGTAATAACATAATCTCCATTATTAGCGTGAATTAATGAGTCATAACCAAATCCTGCATTAGCTAAACAATCAGCTACACACAGTCCCATGTCTTTTGAATCTTGTGGTTCTGGTTTTTGACTAACAGTAAGACGACTTGGTAAAGGTGCAGAAGTACAAATTTGTTCTGGAGTTTTAACTTCTTTTAATCCTAAAGCATTAATTAATTCAGTAAAGTATTTATTTAAATTACTATTTCCAAGAGCTGTTTTAACAGTTTCATTTTGAATTAAATTAATAATATTTTCATCTCTTATTCTTGATAATAAATATCCAATTTGCATTAAATTAGCTTGATTGTTTTGGTTTTCTTCAATAATTTGATTTAACCCTCCAAAGTCATTTGCTTTAAGCATTAACCTAATAGCATCAGAATATTTATGTTGTTTAAGAGCAATATGTAATAAAAATTGATAAATTTGTTTGTCTTGTGGTTCAGGATAATAAGCTGCACATGATGATGCATATAATAATAATTTATCAAATCGAGCTTTCTCACTATATTGTTCTAACATTGCTAAATTATTTGTTTCAATACAAAAATCAACAGCATCTTGTTCTGCATTATGTTCAATATGAAACTCAATCAATTTTTGAGCAATAGGAACAAGTAAGTCTTTTTGTTGTTGCCAAACATCAACAACTTCTCCAGTAAGGTTTCTTGTATATTCATGTCCCCATTGTCCTAAATCATCTAAATGACCAAGTAACTTATATTTTAATGACTCTCCTTTTTCTCCATTAGTCATTACTAAAACACTTAACACATCAGCAAGTGATTGTCTTAATTCTCCATTTGTTAATTGCGAATGAAATTGTTTTAATTGATCCAAATATGGTCGAATAAATTTTGTTGTTTTAGGTAATGTTGTTGAAGAAGATGTGTTATCTCCCCTTAATGTTTTACGCAATAACTCAATAGCACTAGTTGATATTTCAATGTTTGGATCTTGAATACGTTTGACTAAAAGTTCAATCTCTTCTTTTAATTGATCATCTTCATTAATTTCGACAGGTGTTTTACTTGTTGGACGACTCATATTCTTTATTTTGATTTTGAAGTTGTCAGTTCTTTTTTCACTTTCTTTTCTTTTTATTTTTTTATTTTCTTAAAACTTCATCACTTTTTTCTTTTTTTTTTTTAATAATCTTAGATAATTATAATGTATATTTCAGGATTATTTTATTTATTTATTCTAAATAATATCCAATTAAATTCTTGTTTTAATGATTTTATCTTATAAAAAAGATTATGCTTTCAATGGAAATAATAAGCAAACAATAAACGAATAAATTAAATTTCATCAACACCACTTTCTTTTATTTTACTCATTGGCACTTCACTGATAATTTTATCTAACTTTGATTTTTACTGAACTATATTCTAACTTGGTTAATGACAATAATACTCTCCAATTATTTTCATATTTCTAACTTGTTTATTACCCACACCCCTTTTTTAACATTCCATATTACTTCTCTACTTTTAGTTCCATTTTAATCAATCTTTTTAAGATAATATAATTTATTGTTTCATTTTGCATTGGTATGTAATACATTTATGTCTCATAGACAAGTTGTCTGTAGGTTTTTATAACATGAGATTGTCATAATGTTTGGCATCAGTTGTTTTTGTTCAAACAATGTCCAATAAATGTTATAAATTTTACTATATATTTTTAATAGTTCTTTATTTGATTCGAAGATAACACACCAGAAATACAACACAACCAAAATATTAAATGATATTTATATTTTGAGTAACCAACTGTATTCTGGTTATGATATTAGTTTTGGTGAAATATCATTCAATATTTCAAAGATTTGTGTTGGTTATTATTTGTGATGGAGTATCATTCATTATAATAGAAGAGTGTGTATGCATAAAGATGGTTGTTTCTTTACTCGTTGTAGTGCAAATATATTTGATAATATAGTACCACCAAAGAAAAATATGCATGTCGTTGTGACTGATAAAGAAATTAGTCATAATAATAGAGTCATTTACATATTCTCTCATCATAAAACAAGAAAGTAAAAAAAAGCATTTTAATACACAATAAAAATCAAATAAAGAGAAGACAGATACTTAAATAAAGAATAAATAAGTTGACGAAGTTTGAAAAACATTCTTCTGATGCAAATGAAAAAAAAAGAATTGAAAAGCACAGAAAACTACTCAATACCAAACTAAAATTTGATGAATAAACAATTTTAAAGTCAGAGATATGAATAATCTTTGATGTTCAAATGCCAATAGAAAATAAATTTAATAAGATTTAATTAACTATTTTTTAATAACAGTTTTTATTTTATGAATATACAAATCAACTATTTTGTTTGTCTAAATAAGAAGAAAGGTTAATTAATAAAACCGCAATTTTTATTACTACTGAGAAATACATATTCTA